AGCTCTGGGATGACCCACGGCAGCTCCAGCTCAGGGTTGCGCAGCTCTCGTTTTGTAGCACTTGAAGGGTTGTGCCTGGGGGGAGGAGGAAAAGCTTCCGCAGGTGTCGAGTGAAGGTGAGAGGGATCCGTTTCATCCAAAGGCACAAAGCGCCCCATTCCCCTGGGGCACGGTTGCCCTCTCAGGCTGGCACTGCTCTGTCCTGACTTATGGTTTGGCCTCTGTCTCCGCTGGATTTGGCGGTGGTGGGAGTGGGAAGGCCCATTCCTCCCCGCTGCCTTTTTCTTTTTTCCTAAAGCCAACAATCATTTTCGACTACAGCTTCCTTTTCGTGCGAAATACGGAGAGCTTTTTGGGGTGGAAAGAGGAATTGGACACATTTCTAAGCATCCTGGGGGGAAAGTAGGTGTGCAGGGAGAAACGATGACCGTGTCAGTGCTGTGTGCCCATCCTGTAAATGGATGATGTGTCTGAGCTCTGGGCCCAAAAATAAATTCAGGAGGAGATGACAGTGAAAACTGCAGAGAGTAGCGTATCCTGCAGCTGCCCAGCTTAGAGAAAAACAAATCACTGGTAGGCCTGCTGCAGAGCAGAAGGCAATTTTGACATTTCTGATGCTTTCCACAAGTTTGTTGGCTGAGGAGCCGCGTCGATGAGCAGGCCGCAGCGGAGAGCGCTCTGGGCAAGCCAAAATAACAAGACAGCAGTTTCCTTCTCTTCCTTTTGGAAAGGAGGCAGTGAGCTCCAGGTGCCGTGCAGCGTTGGCTGTGCCTCGTGCACCAAATCCCTTGCTGCTCTTGCGTTAAAATGCCAGAATCAGGACAACGTGGCACCGAGACAGCACGTTGGGCTGTGTGGAAGTAGGAGGGGATGGACAGCAACCAAACTGAGCAGGAGTTTGAGGGGGAAACTCAGGGACTTGAGTTTGCCCCTCAAAATCACCTTACCGGACATACATTAAAATAATGGCAGGCCGTCAGTAGTCTGCTGGTTGAAAGGTGTCTTGTCTGAGACGAAGGGCTGAAGCCTCAACTAGTTTGCTGGGCTTGTAGCAACACACCATGCAGTGAACTTCATGGTTGTATCCTCCTGCTTCAGTTGGATGGGGAAGCAGTATCTGCAGAGATGCAGATGTTGGGGTTGGGATGAGCAAGCTTTGCAACTGCTTTGGGGAGCCCCATGCCCATATCCCTTGTGGGGGAGCCCCAGGAGCTGCTCCCACCGCTGTGCAGGCAAACATGATGGTGAAGCCCAACTCACATGTGTGAAAATACACCTTCAAGAGGGGAGGCAGGAGTAGCCATCTGCATCTGTGTATGCAGGCAAGCAAAGGCGCCAGCACCCATCAGTCCTCTCCCACTAGCGCCTTGTGAAAAAGCTAATGGCACCCTAAAGTTGTCTGGGGCCACAAAATGATCAGCAAAGCTGATGTGAAGATGACCCAAGCAGCACCGGTGTGCAGGCAGAGACGAGCTTCCAGAGGGGGAGCACCCTTGGCAGGAAGATCTCCACTCCCTCCTCCAGTGGCATTAGGGCAGAGGATGGCAACACCACCACTTCCCTGGCTGACACCGCCATGGGTTGCGTTCCCTCAGCTAGAGAGGAGCAGGGGAGAAGAGGAGGTGGGAAGACAACGTAAAGAAGAGATGGGCAGAGGTGGAGACCAAGACTAAGTCGCTGCCCATGCTTGCCCGAGACTGCTGCCATCAGGAGGCAGCCAAGGAGACATCCCAGCAAGTGGGGCCTGCCAGTGCAGGTGTTGGTGGAGGGCACAAGCTTTTCCCCTCGGCAGTGTGGGAATGCTCCCGCATAGTTCTTGGGCAGCAGGAACTTGGTGCCATCGTGGGACAGCAGAGAGACACTTGCAAGGTGCCATGGCCAGAGAGAAAGGGGAGGAGATGACACCGCTGAGGGTATTTTCCTACTGCAGGTCCCCCAGGGGGCTGGAGGGGAGGAGGAGGATGGGTGTGGAGAAGCGTCCCTTGCCTGTCTGCTTTGCTCCCCCGTTCTACTCCCCACCAAACCTGTGGGAAGAGCAAGCTCTGCTTTCCTGCTTTTGCCCACAAGCTCACTCCGCTGATGCTGCTGCCAGCTTTAATCTGCTGTGAGGAAGCACACCGTCCCCCTGCCACTCCGCTTTCTGTCTCTCTGATCCGGCTCCCACGGAGAACCCAAGGCATCAACTGACCCGTTCCTCCCTCTGCAGCCTGAGGGAGGGGGTCGGTGGGATGATTTTGGGCTCACCTGGGCTGAAGTTGCATCCAATCCCAGAAGTCCAGCTACCAGTTGCTGGAAGGTCTTTTCTGTCTCTCTGTCACTTGACTCCTTCAAAACAACAGGGCATTGGCCTGTTGTCTCACTTTTTTCAGCTGCTTTCCAGCCTCTCCCCATCAGACACGGAAGGGGATGCTGCCCAAAGCTCAGCCCGGTGGTGGTGAAGCTCATGGGGCCTTCACATCGTGCCAGTGCCAGCAATGGTCTCAGCTGCCAAAGAAGAAAAAAAAAAAAAAAGCATTTGAGGTTGCAGTTTAAAAATCTGTTGAAAATTCGCAGCAACTGATTCTGGAAAGGCCAGATCTAGACGTGGGGATGCACCACTGCCTGCCGCCTTGCTGAATTTACCCGCTCCACCGTAGCAGCCTGGAGTTTGCCTGTTTGCTGCCTGTTCTTTCCTTATGACTGAGAACATGGCTCAGTCGCCTGATTTCTTCCTCCTTGCATGAGAGGTGAGTCCCAGCCCCACTGCTCCAGCACATACGCCAGCAGCAGGGCACGGCAGTTCTCTCTGGAAAGGTACCAGAGGTACCAGCATGGTAGGTATCAAAACTCAAGATGGGACTGCAAAGCAGTATGACCCTGGTGCATCAGGATTTTCTGTCCATGGGGCATCGGGTAGGTATTTTCAGTTGATCTGCTGTCACGAGCAGATGATTCTAGATGGCAGCATGCTGGCGGTGCCTTTGAGAACGTGTTCTCTTCTTCTGGTTGTGCTGTTCTTCACTGGTCATTCTCATCTCCTCTTTGTCTTGCTGTGCTTGGTCTCAAGTGGGTGCTTATGTGCTGGGGAAGAGGATTAAAAG